CCAGGTCAAACAACTTCTATTTCTATTTCTAAGTTTACATTGCACATCATTTGAAGCATCATTGTACATATTTGTTCAGAGTCGGTCTCCAGTCAAATGGAACTCTTCTCCAGCTAACTTGGAGCCAAACGGCAAAGGCCAAAGGTACAGACACAAGCGAGCTTGGACAGCAACGGACTGGAGCAGAGCGCTCGTCTTACCTGACCGACCAGCATGAGACTGGACTGATTTGGAGCCGACTGCGTGCGCTCGACGGTGCGTCGGAGTGTGGACAAGACGGCTTCTCCGTTCATGCCGGCCATCTCGGCCAGCTCCGACAGTGGCTGGATCGGACGGCATTGCGCATGGCAGAGCTGGTTGAAATGATCTGTTGGCTGTTGTTGCAACCGACCGATCGGCTTGCTCTGGTGGTGAGTTAATTGGTGCAATTTGCCGATCGTCTGAGAATCGGCATAATGATGGGTTTGTTGATGATCCGGCGTCTGTAGCTGCGTGTGAATCTGCGCCTGCGGCGGATTGTTGCAGTATCGCATGGGCTGGAGTTGCGAATTATGATATTGCACGTGTTGTTGGCTTGCGCGAAAATAAGGCGCCTGTATCGGATCCACGTAGTGGCCAAGTGACTCATTCGGCCAGTAGGCCATCAGATCTGGTCCGACAGAGCTCAATGAGTCCTGCGGCGACACAGTCATGGGAGCCCACTCGGCCGGTGAATGAAAGAGCTGTAGATGCTGCTGTTGCTGTTGCTGGTGATGGTGTTTTTGATGCTGTTGATGCTTTTGCTGCAGTTGCTGTGTTGGCTGGTGTTGCTGGTGTTGCTGGTGGCCGAGAAGTGAGCCCTGAGACCCGCGACCGCCCGCCAGGATGGAGAAGCCTCGTGGCGGATCTGCCGGCTTGGTCAGCATCAAAAGAGGCTGTGATGCCGTGGAGACGAAGCTGAGTGAAAGCTGACCCATTGACCTGTCCAGTCTATTCACTGGCCGAGGCGTGGATGGGCCAGTGACGCCAGGGCTCGGGGTCAGACAGGTTAGGTTGCCCTGCGACAGACAAGGCTTGCAGGCTAGGCCTCCAGACGAGAGTGCGGCATCAACACCGCCTCGTGGTAGGCTCGGCGAGGGGAACCGATGCACCGTGGCTCCAGCAGAAGGACAACGAGGCTGAAAGGGAGGCCGCAAATAGGCAGTCTGTACCCGACGAGCAGTGACACCCGACGGGGATACAGAAGGAGGAGGAGGAGGAGAAGGAGGAGGAGGGGAAGCAGGGGCAGGAGGAAGAGGAAGGAACAGAGAAGGAAAGAGAGGAAGAGACGAAGGGGCTCTTGAAGCCGGTTGATAGAATACAGGCAAGCGGAGCTGTCTTTTCTGATAACCACTCAGCTGTCCGCCTCGGTAACCGGACGAGGGCGAAAGAGTCTTTCGAGACTGGCCCACATGCATGCAGCAGCTAGTCTGGCTATTGGACTGGCGATGGGCACCGGAATAGACGTGTTGTTGGCCAGGAAACTGGAAGTATTGGTGACTTTGCTGAGAAGGGAGGTGGTGATTGTGATGTGTGAATTGGTGGTGATAGTTTGGGTTGTTGTTGTTGTTGTTGTTGTGGTGGTGGTGGTGGTGGTGACAGTGTTGGTGAGAGAAAGAACGCTGATGGTGAGGCGAGTTGAGGCAGGGACCGGCGGCTATAAAGCCATTCGAGTCGATCACAGACATGCTGATTGGGCCACAATTGGCCTCGGCAGCTCTTGGACCGTCTCCACGACTGCGGCCTGAGCGGGACTCGCAAAATGGGCGTCGGAGCAGCATGGATGGCGGGGCTCCGTGTACCAGCAGCATCTGTTGATACCATGAGGTGGCTAGAGCGCGATGACGCTGTGTGAAAGCCTGGCAAACGATAGACGACGCAGTGGAAAACGTCGGTGGAATAAGAGAGGAAATAAATCAAAGTATATTAAACATATGCTATATTTAATATTTATTTATCATATATATATATATATATATATATATTATATTATATTTACTATAAATATATATATATTTAATCAAAATTATAAGTAATATTCAACTGGCAATTTAATATTGCCCTATAAAAAGATAAATTTCATATTCAGCATGAACTTAAGAGGGTTTGTAATAACTTCGACAATCTACATTGATCACTATGGCGGATGCAATCAGAAATAAATCAGTAAATGGCAAAAATGGTTTTCATTTAAGCTGCCTAATTATTTTTCACTCGTCAGGTTGTGATAATATGTCAGTGGTATGGACTCCGAAAGAATTGAGAATAAGCTGAAAAGTGCCAAATCCTATGGCGTTGTCTGAGAATGCTGGAAAAGAAAAAAATTGACAGTACCGGCGAAATATGGGAATCAAAGATAAAGCACAATCTGAAAGCAAGCAAGACCTAGCCAGATGGAGAAATGCCGGCAACTGAAAAGATGAACAGCACTGGGACGGCTAAATGAGGTTTTATAACTCAAAGATAGCGATACTTAAGCATGCCTAATAACGACAGACATACAAATGGATTGGGTTGATAAAGATACAAAGTAAGTAGGCTTGGAAATTGTCATCAATTATAGAACGAAAACTCAATTACCTTTGATCGCTCAAATGGATTTGACAAGAGATAGTGGATTTTTCCAAAATTGA